TGTATAACTCACAAACTGTAAGTCAGAATAAACTCGTATTTTGCAGTTAGAAAGCCCTTACTATATACTACAACTTTCATGAAAGGTCGAAAAGCCAGTTATGACTCTAAGTGGTTCGAAACAATGTGTGTTCCGAGGCTGTTTCCACCGTATTCAGGATTAATATGTTGTTTTGTAAAATTCGTATAAAATATATGGATAATCAAAATGATGTGGGTGGATTCATATATCAAAGGTAATATTGATTCTTATTAATTTAATATATAAATGTGATCAACGACTCATTTAGCTAACTTCAATAATTTTAAAAAAAATTATCGTCATCGCGCAATGCGCAATATCAAACACTAGTTACAATATATTCATCGTGGTTTACAAAAACGTCTGAATTTGATGCATCTCTCTGACGACCGTTAAAAAAATCTGCTAAATGAAAGGACAATTTTGTTTCATTTATCGATTTTTTTTATCTCTTATTCAATCAAAAACCAGAAAGACCAAATCATATGATTGATTTCGATTGGGCAAAAGTAAAAAATTCGATAAGAAGACTTCATTCAGCGTATTTTTTTACTGAATGTTAGAGGAAGAGATTAAATACAGACATATTTGCAAACCATAATGACTGTATTAATATCTCGTATCAAATTAAAAAAAAAAATTTATTTCATTAAAACTTTATTGCATTTGTGAAAAATACTCAATAAACTTTTTTATTTTGAATGATTTTGTTCTTTAAACTAATTTTTTAAATTAAAAAATAATTAAATTTTCTTATTTTAAATGATTAAATCCGTGAACTGTTATTTTAAATGAAAAACCATTAAACTATTTTATTTTGATTTATTAAATCCTTAAATATATTTTTAATAAATAAATCACCGTATTTCTGAACAAAAAAAATTGTATTAACCAACTAGTAGAATTTTCATGGTTTTTTTGTTTTTAAAAAAGATTCATGGTCTTAATCATTCAAAATATGAAAGTTTAGTGGTTTTTTCATTCAAAAAATAGTTCAGTAAGAGTCGGTTTTTGGATGAAAATGAACATCTTTAGAGAGAGTTGTCTCGCGCTCGTAGGTATTCTCTACCTATCCATTTGTGTCGGTTTCTTGCTCATTAACCTATGAGGTATTAACAAGTATCAAAATAGGATATATGATGATAAAATTTAACAATTTGTTTGATTTTTTTTGAAATTTTCAATTATATTTAAGATAATTTTAAACCTTTTTAGTATTAATTAAAAAAAAAAAATAGATTTCCAAATAGGAGCTCGATTAATCTTTGATTATTATTATTATTATTATTATTTTGATTAAGCTGAATATCTAACCCGTTATGCAAATTGACTAATCTTAAAGCAACCACTGGTTTTGTGGATTTCACGAAGTGTTAGAAATTCTGGTTTTCGATTGTTTGGATTTCACTGAAAGTCATGTATCACTTTCAGATTGAAGTATTTCGATGGTACAATCGAAATTTTAGCCGGATAAAATTCAGTGATTTTCCCGAACAGAGAGTTTTTCGTGTTATGAAATATGTATACCCCAAAAATCAAATGATCAAATCGTATATTTTCCCTCAAACGATCGAAAACTGCCATATGACAGTTAAAAAACCGAGTTTTCAAAACAGAGTGAAAGCCAGGGGCTCTGCCCCTTGGACCCTGCTAGGGGCGCTGCCCCCGGACCCCTGTCGTACCCCTAAATCAAATTAAACTCAAATAAGTGTGTACTCCACATCTTACTTACTTGTTCGATATTTATCATGATTACATTGGTCAACAAATTAATCTCATTACATTTAAAATAATATTAATGATACAAATTACCAACACGAAATTATCGTATTTGAACTTTTATGGTTATAAAAAGATTTTTTGAATTTAAACCTAAGAGTTTAAGACACTTTTAATCTTTAGAACCAGTCACCGGACAACACGATTGTGGTAAAGATTATTACATGTAACGATAAACATGTAACGAGGTTACGCGGTTTGTACACGTGGATTACCAATGAGACGACGTGTCACGAGACCATTCTTTCTGGCGGGAACCTGACGTCATCTTCATCGCATGCAGCTTCTACTGCTTCTGACTTCTGAAACGATAAGAGTTCCCCAAATTCTCCGGCTGCTGGTTCTCATCAGACTTCTCCGGAATGGGCCGTCGCCATCTTCTCTACCTTCTCTACACCTCTTCCGTAAGGCCGCCGGCCTCCACTCCTTACTTCATCTCGCCTCCGCCCTTTCTTCTTCGTAAGGTAAGTCCGTTAATTACTGTTTCTATTATCATAATCGCTTGATTGGATCAGTTTCATGTTTTTTTTCTTCTCCGATTCGATCTGATCGATATATTACGAGATTTCTCTGTTCTCGAACTCGATTTGATATACGAAAAGCATTTCATCTCCAGATCTGCCATTGTTGTTCTATTTCATGGTTTTCTGGTCGTCATTTAGCAATCGGAAGTCAAATTCGTCAAAATTCCTGAAACATCGATTACTTTGAGCTCAAGTTTCTCATACTTTTTAACTCGACTTTTAGATCCGTTTCATTGAATCGAATTTCGAGTTCAGGTCGTTATTTAGCAATCGGAAGCCAAAGTTCCTGAAACATTGAATATTTTGGATACAAATTTGTCATATATTTTTAACTTGCTTTTTAGATCCGTTTCATTGAATCGAATTTCAAAACTGTGATTACTTCCGACAATGATTTTCGTTCGTGTTTTTTGCAATCGTCGTTTTGGATTCGTGTGACTGAAGATTTGAACTGGAATTTTCAAAAAACTGATCATCTTCAACATATCTTTATATTTCAAATTTGATATTTTTCTAATTGTAGTTCAGATCCGCAACAAACTTTCAATTGTTTTGGAGAAAGTTTCTCGGATTTTGCCATTTTGGTAGTTTTTCGCCGTTTAAATCCATCCAACTTTTTAAGACAAAATTGGCGCCACCATTGAATAAAAACCCAAACGGAGCGGGAATCGATTCTGAAGGAGAAAAAAATTCGAAATTCCTTTTCTGCTAATTTCTGAATGTCGGGGGATATTTTCTGTAATTTTCTCAAAACAAAGAAATGTAAGTTTTAGGGGTTGCTTTGCTCAATGGTTTTATCCAGAATAATTAATTGGTTAGAAAGATTAAAAAGACTCTCATAATATAGTGCAAAATAAAATATAATTGTTTGGTAATTGTTTGGTAATTGTTTACAATGAAATTAGGGTTCTTAATGATTAAGGGAGACATCAGATACAAAATTATCATTCAGAGGATTTTAGAACTATTAAGAGACAGATTTTTTTTGTCAAACAAGATTTACATCTTAACAATTCAGAGATTACCTCTTAATGAAACTATTAAAAGGTAAACAAGACCATTGGTTCTTGTTATGCCTCTTACTAGATAGGGATCCTGGTGTTTGCCGTACTCACCGCTAAGGCAAGTGACACCTGGTGTCCGAAACTATTTTTCGAATTTGAAGATTTTTATTCCCGCTTCTTTCTTCATTCTTCATTTTAGAGTGAAAAAAGTACTAATTTAAAGAATCCGTTAAAGACGTTTAAAATCGTTAATTTGTTGTTAGAAGGGATACAGCCAAGAAAGTAGTAGCAAAGGAAAGCATGACGACGAGACAATAAATCATGAGAGAGCACCGTCGACGTTAGAGGAGTTCAAAAGGCTGGAGGAAGACAAGGCAAATCAAGGAGTTGCAAGTCAGACGGTGGAGAAGGCGGAAGATGGTGCCATTGAAGCAACCATCGGCGACCGCAACTTCGAGTCCGTCAAGGAAAGTTTCAAGGAGAATGTCGTGAGGGAGAATGTCGGTGTCGGTGATTTCCGTAGGACCGGAGAAGAATGAATGATGGCGTCTTTATTTAGCAGCTAGAGAAAGATGGAGAACAACACTTCTTTCATGTACAAAAGTTGAGACAATGTATATGGTTTTGTCGTGGTTTCCGTACCAAAGTTCTGGGCTTGGGAAAATATAATAACCATGTCTCGTGCGTTACTTTTTGGTGGATGACTTGATGCAGGTTGGGTTGAGATTTTTAACCCATTTAAAATATTATATAATTTTATTTTATTTTTAATATTATATCTAGTATTCTAATTTTTAATTTTGTTTTCTTCTTTGTTAAAAATCCTACCGTCGTTAGATAAAACTCCAAATTCCAATTGCCTTCGTTACTCTTAATCATCATGAAACCCTAAGAAAACCCTTTAGTCCATTACTCCATTATTACCTCTGAAGTCAATCCGACTCTTCAAGTTTGTTGTCCGCTTCTCGCCCTCTCGATCTCGGCTCTCTCTCCGTCTAATGTTTTTCTTCCTCTCGGCTCTCTCTCCATCCTACATTTGTGGTTGTGTTGTGTTTTATTCAAAAAAAAATTAAATAGTCTAATCCTTTTTTTATTTATAAGTTTAAAATTAAATGGGTCAACCCAGGTTCAACTCATTTATTTAAGGTTAAGAAAATCGTAAACATGTCAACCCGCTGTCAACCCGCTATCAACCCATCTAAGTAACATGTTGGATTGGGTTGAAAAATCTCAACCCATTTAACTAAATAGGTTAGGTTGAGTTGAGATTTTCAACCTGTTTAATAAATGAACTAAACCCAAACCCAAACCCAAACCCAAACCCAACCTGACCCAGTACGACCCCTAGGTTCATATACGCGAGAACGAGAAAAACAGGAATGATTTTCATTCCATTCAACTTAATCTAGAATAAAAATTCAGGCTTTTGAGAATAAAGCTATTATATTATATAAAATTGAACAGTTTCAGATGTTAAATTTTTTTCTAGGCAATTAAAACACGAACTATGGACACAACAAATGTTACTTAATTTAACCATACATTTTACGTAGTTTTTGTGAAGAACAATATGATAGAATATTCATTTTTATTCAACATGAATATCAGATAAAATAGATGGTTCCTAAATTGTTAAATAGATTTCCCTCTACACTTGTATATATTACTGAAAACATATATGTACATAATTCTACTTTCATCAAATTCAGATCATTATTTTATTTTATTTATTTTTAATAAAAGGATTAAGTTTTTTAATATCACTACAAGGGTACTCGCGCAATGCAGCGAGATAAATCTCGATTTTAATATTTTAGCTTTTATTATTTGTCTCTATCAATATAATACGATTTTATGTGGTCTTGAGCGGATGATAATATTTTCATTTTTGAATTAAAATATAAATTTGAAGATAACATAAAAATTTGTAAAAAAATAATTCAATAATAGTATCAAATTAACTATTTAATAGTTCTTGTTTTTTTGGTGTAACTTCTTTAATTTAATTTTTTATTATAATTTAATTTAGATTTAATAACAAAGTAATTTATTTTTTGGTTTAATAATAATATACTTTTTTATAAAAATAATACTTAAACATTCTGTTAGAACTCAATAATTATTTTAATTATATTTTAGATTTTTCTATATTTAAAATGAATGTTTATCATGTATTTGATTTTGTTTATCAGCAGTTAGTTATACAAATTTAAAAATTGAGCTTTAGTAAGTTGTACTTACGCAAAATTTACTTGTAATCTTAAATTTTAAGTAATATACATCAATAAATAGTATTTCATGCATAAAAAATGGTTTTTAAGAGTTTTTATCAAATGCTTTATAATATGGTATAAGTTGGTGGATTAAATTTTTGTTTCGATTTCAATTTTGAACTCAAGTATAAGCATAGACAGATATATATCCAACCACAAATTCAGGTATGAACATAGAAGCATCTTATGATTCTTATCAACATCGCATCCATCCATATCCAAAAATGGTCCCCTTCAAAAGCAAATTGTAATTGCGATAATAATGTCAGAATATGTGGAAGATAAATTGAACGTAGTTTAATTAGGTTTATTGGTCTATTTGACTTATTTACACAACTCATTTGGGTTGTTTACTTACGGCTTAGTTGCACATAAGATGACTTAATTGCACAGATAGAAATGGTGTGTTGTTCCCATTCAGCCATAAAAATGACATCCCTACCCCTTAATGAAAGCATCGCCTCCTTCCATATGAGACACCCCAACCTCTTTATAATTTTTTGTTTTGATGTTCAAATAATTAATATTGGAGGGTATATCGGTTATTTATGTTATTCAGACTGTTGGTTCAGATAAAAAAGGTAAACAACACCACTCGTTTATCCAGACAGACAAATTTATCCATACAAGACTTAATAAAAAATTTGGTAAACAACCCTTAAGCTTATCTTTATATATTGTTTAATACATATTTATAATTTTACTTATTAATTTTTTTATACACATTAAAATCAAGACTTGTTTTTTCTTTTTTTTTTTTAAATTTTCAATGCATGATTTGACACGATTCTAATAATTAGAATCGTAAATGTATATAGCAGCACTCTAAATTGGGTTTCCTTCCAGTCGCTTTCAAAAGGCTAAGCACCTCCAACAGATACTGTATAACTTTTGTTCATGTTCGTTCATTAAGAAAATGTTCTTGTTCCTCTTCATTTATGTTCATTTGTTAAGATGTTAAACGAACATAAACGAACGAACACAAATGAACAAAAAACAACCACCATTACTTATCATTTCGTTCCTCAAAATAAGACTGAAAAAACCGGGTAAACTTAGAAGGGATAAAAAAGAGCTCTATAAAATGATTTTGCATATTAATCCATAACTAGAAGAGTATTCGTGCAATGCAGCGAGACACATCTCGATTTTAATATTCTATTTTATTATATGTCTATGTCGATGTTATAATACGATTGTATTTTTTTTTAAGAAAACAATAATGATTTTATTTTTGAATAAAATATAAATTTGAAGATATCATAAAATTTTGAAAAAAACATATATCAATGTTAATATCAAATCAACTATTTAAAAGTTCTATTTTTTATGTAATTTCTTTAGTTTATAATTTTTAAGTTTAATAACGAAATAATTTATTTTTGTTTTGATAAAATAACATTTTATAAAGATAATAATTAAGTATTTTGTTAGAACTCAATGATTATGCTAATCATATTTTAGATTTTTTATATTTAAAATGAGATGTTTATCCTGTAGATTATGTTTATCTGCAGCTAGTTACACGAATTCAGATATGGAGTTTTAATAGGTTGTACTTACTCACAATCTACTTGCAATGTTGAGTTTTAAGTAATATGCATTAATAAACAGTACTTTACGCATAAAAAATGACTTTTAAGAGTTTCTATCAAATACTTTATAATATAGTATAGATATGTAAATACATTTATATATATAAACAAGCGTAATCTAAATAAACAAACATTAACGAACATAAATAAACGAACGTTCACAAACGTAAATGAACGAACGAGAAATTTGTTCATGTTTGTTCATTTATTAAATAAACGAATTTCCCGCCAACGGTTCACGAATGGTTTGCTGAACATTCGGTTCGTTTATAGCCCTAGTTACAAAGGCTTTGACAGCACTTGGATTCGAACCCAGAGAAGACAAGATTTCTATTGCATCCCCTTGAACCTTAACAATGTGCCACAAATCAAGTGGTTAAATGACTCTAGGAACAGGTATTACACCAAAGGGTCATCGGTCCAACGATATCTGAGTTACAGGTAGATCCCAACCTACCTGAAAGTTGGAGAACCATGGAAGGGAACCAAAGGTATTAGGGGCCTTTTACCAAACGCTTAAAAGGTATTAGGGGCCTTTTACCAAACGCTTAAAAGGTATTAGAGGCCTTTTACCAAACGCTTACTCTGGTAAGTGAACACCAAGTCTCCTTACCAGAACCAAGAATCTTACCCGGTAAGAACACCAAGTCTCCTCACCAGGACCAATAGTCTTACCCGGTAAGTGAGGGGGACGACTCTTACCACAGTAAGCGCTTACCAGGTGAATTGTTGCATACGATATTGTTTTGGTGGATTAAAATTTTACCCGGTAAGTAATTGATAGTATTAAATTTTATCGATTTACGCTTACTCAGATACAAGGGACAAATTCAAGAGGCAAGAAAGGGTGAGGCCATTGATGCAGGAATGAGATGATAATCTATCTTAGACAAAATGCTAAAGCCGTAAGCTAACTAGTAATAACTAGAAGGGTATTCGTGCAATGCAGCGAGATACATCTTGATTTTAATATTTTGTTTTATTATTTATCTCAGTCGATGTTATAATATGGTCTTATATGATTTTGAAAAAAAACGATAATGTTTTTATTTTTGAATAAAAATATAAATTTGAAAATATCATAAAAATTTGACAAAAATATATCGATATTAGTATCAAATTAACTATTTAAAATTTCTCGTTTTTTGTGTCATTTTTTAATTTAAATTTATATTATAATTTAATTTA